TTAAAGACGTAATTTTTTATTTTTTTATTTTTTATTTTTTTGGGAGGGGGATCATTATTTGCATCTATTTTAAGACAGACCCAAAGACACTGATTTAGTCGTTTTTTTTATCCTTACTGATGTGGTTGTCAGTGGTTATCACTGACCCACTGACTTCTAGGTATTTTCTGGTCAAGATTCCCAGGAATTTGCGGTCGTGAACCCGGTGTCTGCTGCCCTTGTAAAATTGCGTATGCTACGGCCCACCGTTAGAAGGGAAAAGGGCTGCCTTCAGTACAGTCGGAAATTTGGGAACTACCAATCGACCTTTAAATGTGCTTGAAGAAGTCAGGATACTCTTCAACCTATGAACCGTGTCAGAGAGTAATGATAAAGTAAAATTGTCCAGGACTTTACGTTGACTACATCCCTGCAGACAAGTTGAGATTGCATTTATTCTTAGATTAATTTTTATACTACTTACATAATGTTGAATTTTGATTACAGCTCTCAGGAAAATTTCACTGTGAAGAAATTATGGTATGTGTTTTTGCTTAAACTTGGACATAAATGTTTACCCCACCCTATTTAACTGTTTGTGTGCAGGTGGTCTGGTAACAATGAAAACCACAAACGTGTGCACATGAACAGAAATTCATATGTTGTTCTAAAATCACATATAAATAAATGAAAACATTGTAAAATACCAAGAAAAGTAGCTTTGGATGGGACAGAATAAACTGTTTTTTAATTTCCTTCAATAGCTCTTTAAACGCTGATGACTAAAAATGACCATTTTCTAAAAATCAAATACATTTAAAAGCTGTTATCTATTAACACTGAAACCATATCAGCAGCCAGTATCTTGAACTGTGAAGTAGATGGGCCACAGCAACATAAAACTACACCAGGCGTTGTTTCTGTCAGCTAAGGAAAGTCTCATCCACACTTCTAATAACTTCTAATAATTCAAAATATGAGCCGTGTTGAAAGGAAATCCATGAAATTGGACCTGCACATTTCTTTGATATGTCTCTTGTATTTTATGAGCTTTTTTCTATTTTTATTTGTTTTTTATTAAGGTAAGCTACTAACAGGTCAAACTAAAGTTGCCAGCCTAATTTTCCCCCAATCGCACGAAGTTGTTGAAATTACACGATTAGCTTGAACGCAGCACAAGCCCACATAATGCTCTTCTTCAGCACCGGGAACAGCGGGTCAGCCTGCAGAGCTCTTCCGGAGGCGGATAATCCCCTTCTCTGCGCGAAGTCCTCGTACAGTCAGGAAGGGATCGCTGTAGCTCCCCTCGAGAGGAACACGTTTTGGGATCAAATGCAAGTTACGACGGGGGAAGCGCAGCTTTGAGGACAGCTTGGACGTGTAGAGAAATGTCTGCGCATCTCTCCCTCTGGCTTTATTGTGTAAACAACCAAATCTGACACCGATAAGCGGATTCTCTATAATGTGACAGCTGCTGTCGCCGCTCATCTATTTCGGGAGAAACTACGGGCAGTATCCCGCTTGCGTTTTTATTATTTCAGGACAATGGTGGCTCATAACCTGGCCTTAACCTTTATTGCCGCGGCTCTTTGGGGGGTCAGCGGCGAACTACTGCTCACTCCTTCATCTGCGACGCACTTAAATTCAACATCATCATCATCCGTCATCAGTCAAGATTCACTGACTAACAATGCCACGGATGCTGCCGTGGGATCCCGGATTTCATCTCTAATGACGTATCTTCCGACCCTGAAAAACATTGTTATTTTCATCTGCGTGTTAACAGCTGCTCTCATCACGTGCCTGGTCATCAAAGTGGTCAGGTAGGCAGGTTGGCGCAGAAAAAACAAATCAATCGTTGCAACGGTTGTGAAGCTGTAAAAGTCATGCAGACATTATGAGAGCAGGATTGTTTATACATTTGCGTGTGGTTGATTTGTCCCCGTGTGATGTGATGGAGAAGGGTCTGGGCCTGTTGATTCTCATCTTACGGGGATTTCTAGGCACTGATAAGTTTAGCGTCATACTGCCTTATGTAGTCGTTTTAGGTGCCCGTAAGCCTCGAAGTAGGCTACATTGTTACTCTGTTTACATTTCTCTGATTGCACAGTTTATTTTCGGGCTCATCCAGGTCAGATCTAATTCTGCTAGTTGCTATTTTCCTTTGCAGTCAGACTGTTGATCATATTTCTAATTAATCAGTGAGGGTTTTTTTTAGTCCCTAGCATTTAAGAAGTTGATGTAAATAAAAACAGTGTAAGATTGAATAAACTGGAACTTCTTCTCTGGGAGGTTGGCGCTTACTTAAGCAACTGATTATCACCATATTGAAATAATATTTGCCCCACTTTTTGGGCCAGTCTGAGCACTTTAACACACTCCATATGGCAGAACTAAAGGAAGATTACAACTTCAGGTTGTAGGCTTTGTGATCCAAAAGGCAAAGTTTTAATTCTCTTGCTCACCTCATGTGTGACGGTTGTCTTTTCTCGCAGATCTGGCAGAAGAATCAGGAAGACTCGGAAGTATGATATTATCACTACACCTGCAGAGCGCGTCGAGATGGCGCCTCTCAATGAAGAAAACGATGAAGAGGATGACTCAACCCTTTTCGATGTCAAATACAGGTTGGTTTGTTGCGTTTTTATTTCTTTTGGATCACTTAAGCAATGACAAGTTCATTATGTTACATTCATCATATTCCAAGCAGAACCAGAGGAAAAACTCCTTTTCTTCAATTTCTACTGGTCACATAAGCAGAGAAGAAAGAAAACACGAGAGCCTCATGTACTGAGAATGTTCTACGTGTATCAGAGAAGAGAAAATGTAGATGTGGATGAGATGCTGACCATGAGAAGCCATGAGTACTAAAAATGATGGCCTTGAAGACAGATCATAAGTTTCTTTGTACAGGTTCTTACACAGCAAACGTAAGGTTAATGTAGATTTTAAAACACTGATACGTTTTCCTCAGGCGCCTTAATCTTTACTATTATAGCCATAAAATGCTGAAACCCTGATTTGCTTATGCAAGATTGCACTTTGGTTTTGACTGTGAAATTTTGCACAACGGCAAATTTACCAGCCGTCCCGGAATTTTTTTTAAGTACAAAGCTTGATTAAAAACTGTGTGTCTGACCAGCTTTGGTCATCCTAAAGAAACACACTACTTTAATTCTAATGCACTGTTGACTTTAGGTCTCACCCTTCCGTGCTTTCCATTGTTCACACAGTCACTTCCTCAAAGGGACGCCTTGTTTAACTGACATTCCTGACTTCCAAGTCACACAGGACTCTTGACGGGCAAACACACTTCCTCCTCACTGTGTGCTCGTTAAGTAACTCTAAGTTTCTGCTTTGCAGGTGAATACCGGCGTGGACGTCAGCGTGTTTGAGCTGATGACTCCCACTTGGCCCGGGACAAGTACAAGTGATTTCCTGTATTTTTTTTGGGGTGTGTGTATGTGTGTGTGCGCGCGCATTTCCAAGTCTTACCATATCAGCAGCTTAATGCTGTCTGTGCATGGCTTGTATCTGTGGTTAAATAGTGTTTTGACATTACTGTTCGCTGCTTTCCTAAAGCTTCTATCACGTGAGCCAAATAATCTCCCAGGTTATTTCTAATGTTAGAGATAAGGAGGCTCCAAAAGTCTTTCAGCGAATGTCTGCTTTGAAGCCATGTCCGTAATCCAGGGTTAATCACACTTTAAATAACTAAATAAATACATGGTGGTCACTACAGATCATCGCCTAATGCGTAAAGTAGTCATTTACCAAGAGTACTTTCTTCAACTGTAAAATTTAATTGATATTTTTTTAACCAAAACCAAATATTACCTATATGTACTAACCACTTTGTTGTGCGTATATACTGTTAAAGGCTTTCCGGTCAGGAGTGAGCATACGCTACATATATCTATTTTTTACTGTGTATTCTTTCAGACATTCCTGTTTCGCTGCTATCACAGCTGACGTTGACCTTTAAGGTTATCAGATTTGACTCGAAGCGCAAAGACTTTTTGTGTCATATTTATGGAGTATATACCAGTTTGCTATGAATGTGAATCTGCTGTTATCGAGTGCGCTGAAACACGCTTAATCCTTAAAAAAGGAACCGCTGAGCAGGATCGGCGCTGCCTGTGGAGACTGCGGTCATGCCGCCACAGTGATTAACATGCGCCCAGTATCTTACTTTCAAGGCCAAGTTAAAGTTTGACTTTTCAGGGTCAAAGTCCAGTTGCTCGCTTTAAAAATATCCCCAAATTTGATATTCTTTATACGAGCTAACAAATTAAAGTCCCTCACTGTAATATCCACTAATGGCTAACTGACTTCTTCTCATAAAAGAAGAAATTTTCCTGGGCTATGATTGTATTAAAGGCCACTTTTGACATTTGGGGAAAAGTGATTGTTACTTTTTATAAATACTAAACCACTATATTAAAAACTCATATTAAAAAAAATTAAATTACGATTATCTATCTAAAGTTTTATTCAAAGTGAATGAAAGGAAAAGCAGAGGAGATCACAAGACCCTCACGTCTCCGTCTGCCCAATAACGATAATTACATTGTTTGAGGAGCGAGGCAGAACACACAGATGAGCTTTTCTGCAGCACACGGTCGCCGTCTGTGACCTTCTCTTTTAATCCAAACTGTTATCTGATAGTGCACTGTGGCCTGCAGGTGCAGCTGTTTCCAAATGACCTCCATCCTCGGTTTAATAAGAAAATAAAAAGACTGCCGTGACCAAACTTGCACAATCAATTTATCGTTTTCTTTCTCTCCCCACGCCTGTCTGAAATAAAGTGTTTTTGGCATTTTGGGTAAAGCTGGATGTGTTTATTGTCTTGACAGAATCATTCATTGAATCATATGTGAATCAAACTTGTAAACATACTGTATTTTTTGAAATATGATGTTCTGTAATATTCCTCAAGCTGGCTGCTGTTATTTACTGTTTTCCACTTTTTCCTCTTCTGTCCCGTGTCTTTAACTGTTTGTGCAGAAAGCTGCAGATCAATGTGTTTGTGCCTGCTCAGACAAAGATGCCAACCTTTGTCAAAGTTTTTTTTTCTTTTTCTTGGCTGGAGTTGTGTGAAATGATGGAAAAACTTCACCGAATCATCTGCTGCACATGGTCGCTCGTAAAGAGAAATTAAAGCTGTAGCGGTGAAACTAATCCGCATTTTACCCAAAAACAAAAAAGAAAAAAAAAATTACAAGTGGAACTGTTTTAAAAGTTTATAGTAAACAAGCCCCTGCTTGGTTTCTGACACAGATGTGCGTGTAGCCCTGTATGTTTCCTCAGTTTCCATTTATTTGAAAAACCACTGAAATAAACCCGCTTCCTTTGAAGTGTCAAGGAAAAATTTTGTGTATTTTTTTGCCACAGAAAAGTACATTCACGTTGTCATAAATGCACATGTTAAGCATCAGTGAGTCACACTGAGGATCATAAAAACGAACAAAAAGACTGGAATATGCTCAAACTGTATCCATTAACACAAGACAAACATGCAAAAGCGAGTATTAGTTTGCTGTAATTTGCACATTAAACAGATGTTAACAGGGTACGGGGGGGGAGCAAGATAAAAACTGTACAATCTTCAGAGCAGGGAACATGTGTGAGAAAGTTTTTCTCATCTGTGGCAAACTCCACATTCTGGGTTAATTAACTTAATAGCGTTGGTCACAAACCGTTTCTATTTTTGCCAAAGTCAGACAAGCTCACACAAATAAACCTTTCATTGCTTCAGACTGCTGACGTCTCTAGTACAACTTTCATGTCTATTCTTAACTTAATTGGCGGCGTAATAAGGTCGACATGCAAGTCAACAGGCGCATCCTGTCAAAACAACACTTTTTGTGGACAAATCACATGGCTGAGAGCGCATGAGAGGCTATTTGTTTAGCTATGGAGCTCTTGGAATATTTCAAATGCTTCCTTTAATTTTCTATAACAGAGGCATATTGTTACAGAAAAATACCCAGAGCTTCTTGGCCAAAATCTCAACATCGAGATAACTCCAAAAAAAAAAAAGAAAAGAAAGAAAAAGCCCAAAACAAAACCCCTTTTGATGAGGTGGATCCTCGAAGTACAAAAATACAATTTAATCTTGTGTTAAGATGTTCCCGTTTGAAAAGCCAGTCTACTACTGGCCTTAAAATGTACATAAAAAGGAGTTTCTATCCTGACCAGAGGCCTACGGCGAGACGTTTTTTGCATACTCTGTTTTTATTTTAAACTGATAACTAGGTTAAAGAACTCACAGCCGAATAAAACCTTTTATAGTGTCTGGGCATGGGGATGGTCCACTTAGGGACTGGTGGAATTGATTTATTATAGGCACAATACTATGTATCAAACTATTATATTGGTTTAATACTAATTCCAAACATGCTCTACAAGAAAAATGAACACATCACTCTACCTCCATATTTCTTAAAGTGTGACCTGTGAGCCCGTAGCAGCTCTTGGTAACATGTTACGAGGTCTTTCAGGGCAACAAAGAAAGAAATGCACTAGTTTATATTTAACTAATCCACACATCAAACTATTCTTTACACTCACTGGCCACTTCATTAGGTTACCTTGCTAGTAAGCTGCCTTAATGCTTTATGGGATATGTGCTGGAAACATTCCACGACCACCCGTTGTGGTCTCCTGTCGCTGTGCCCCGTCTGCTTCACGGTGCAACATGTTGTGTGTTCAGAGAAGCTCTTCTGCATACCTGGGTTGTAACAATAATTTGAGTCAGCTTAAAGCAGTCTAGCCATGCTCCTCTGACCTCTGACATCAACAAGGCATTTCCACCCAAAGAACTGCTGCTCACGATCCAGTGAGCTCCTCTCTTTATCAGGCCATTCTCTGTGAACCCTACAGATGGTTGTGTGGGAAAATCCGAGCAGATCAGCAGATTGTGAAATACTCAGACCAGCCTGTCTGACACATTCAGAGTCACTTAAATCCCCTTTCTTCCCTATTTTGATGCTCAGTTCAAACCTAAGCAGGTCATCTTGACCACATTTGCCAACATTCCCAAATGCACTGCTGCCTCATGATTGGTTGATGAGATATTTGCATTAACAACCAGTTGAACAGCTGTGCCTAACAAAGTGGCCAGTGAGTGTAGCAGCACATATCTGTGTTACAGCCATTATAGCAGACTAAACCTTTCTACCACTGACATATATAGCTGGTGTCAAGAAATGCAACACTGAACATATTAAGTGTCGCGAAAAGTCAATTAAAAACACAAATAACAGACACGTCACACACATTTCCAGTGTTTGTGATGTGTGCAGACCTCCTCTCCCTACATTGGTCATAAAAACCTTGAGAACCCTTGCTCCACATGAATAAAGGCATACAGATGTCCAGCTCGGGGTCCTCTCAGTGATATTTCACTGAAATAGCTGCTGATTGCGACTTAATGTTAATTTAAAAGCACATCATGGAGCTTGCTTGTTCCCAGGTTTGTAAGGAAGCCAACGAATACATTCATCTCAAAAAGTAAACCTCTTCTTAGTACAAACATCCAGCTACCGTCTCACCCTCCGGTGAGGAAACAGGGCTGGTGCTGTTTGAGGAAAGTTTACAAAGTGGGTTTACCGTTGGCAAAGTCTGAGTAAACATTCGTATGTGAACAGCTGGTACACTCCTCCATTATGCTCACGCCTTCCTTTCTTGATTTGGTTCTCAAGGTAACCTGACTTTATTAGACGGTGGCTCTGGTTTATTGGAGGTTTGAGTTTTTGCTTGTTATTAACCTTCTAACATTAAAGTAAGGTTATGTCATAGAAAGCGTTTAAGAGATTCCACTTCAAAGTGTTTTAAAAAGAAATGTTGGTCCCCTTTTTTCCTCTATCATCATTCTTCCTGATTATTAAGTGCTTCCATCTTGTGGCTCAACAAGCGAACCAGTAATTTAACAGCTCACAAAACACCCCTAAATTGAGTCTTATCATCACAAAGTTGGAATATGAATTTCAGAGCCAGCCTTATTAACTTTTAATACTTGTGGGATGTCAGCTACTTTTAATTTAGAATATAAAAATGAAATTATATTCATTAATTTATTTAATCAACACACATACAGACACGCAAAAAAAGATGTGCTTGTGGAGAGACCTCAGGCCTGAGGGTGGAGTTGGTCACTCTTTGAGCTTGAAATAGAAAAATTGTTCATTCCAGCTGTTGAAAATAAGTTAATTCAAGTCTCATAAAAGTGCTAGCAACGAGAAAAACTGCTCGTATTCAAGTCTGCTTGCCGCAGAACCTTCTGCTATTTGCTCTGGAGATCTTTCTGTGGTCTCTGCTGGATGCCACAAACCCCAGTGTGGAGCCGTAGCGCCCCCTGTCTGTGCAACGTGCTCAGGGTCCTGAACTCCAAAGGCATGGTGTGAGGACTCGAGCTGGAGGTGTACTCATATTTGAGGGTGTCGTAGTAGTGGTATTTAACCGGTTTGCCTTGCGGGTCGAGCGAAAAGGGCCAAAAGCCGTAAAGGTGGATCTCCTCGCAGAAGCGAGTGGCCATTGTGTACATGAGGAGGCCGGTGGTCGGACGTTTGATGTGGACGTTGTTCGTCAGCCAGTACCTGCAGATGCAGACAGAGACAGAGCTGTAAGATAAGACATTCAGGGACAAAACAGGAGACACTCAGACAGAACCAGAACAAAAGGATGAGCAATTAAGGTGTCCATAACTCTTTTCTGGGTACACAGTGAGCTCTGCATTCACTGGGAAGAACCACTTTTCTCCTTCAGTAAGAGGAGGAGTTGAATCCTGCGCGACACAAGCAAAAATAGAGAGTTTGACCGACACCTTTCTGATGTAAACAACAACACACTGGCCTCACAACTGTCTCGCATATTCCTAAAGTCTTCTGTAGGTCAGTTGGTTTAATAATTTCAGTCTTTCAAACGTGATGACTGGCTGCTTTCTTCCCTCTCTCTCTTTTACCTTTGAGTTTTCCACTGGTGATTGGTTGAAGCTGTAGGAATTTGGATTTTTAATTATGTGACCCTTTTAAAAACAGTGGTTTACAATTATTGCAGTTCTATTGTTAAGCTCGAGGCTGGTAGCATCTACAGGGGAAAGAAAATGACTTCTATCTGTCGAGAGTTGGATTTTTTCACTGCAGTTGCAGAACTGCAGTAACTCCTGGCTGCTGAATTTGACATGAAATCAAAAATATTTAGGTGGACGATTTTTTTATGTTTTACTTTTTTGCAGAGTGTTGCTGAGAAGCACAGACTGTATGTTCTTTTCACTGCGTGAGCCTTTTTAACAAAAGCTGCAGACGCCACAGCTGCTCTGCACGACTATTTTCTCTACCTGAGGTGACTAGCAGCTCCTGTGACAGTGACGTGCCACACGCTCCCCTTGGGAGCAGCTTCGGGGACAGATGGTCACACGTTCGCTTGCATCAGCTTCATTTTCATTTCCAGTCACTGGCCCATTTGCCCAGCCTTGAGGCCACAACAGCCTCTCCTCTAACACCCTCTATAGTTAATGTGGAAGCTCGTGTTGAGATGCAGCAGCAGTAACCTCCCACTCTAATCAGCTCATGAGCCGTGCAGGACAAACAGTGGGCAGGAGAACAGGGTTTAATTATCAGTGGCATCATCCGAGGTGAGATTTGAGATTTGGTTGCGGTGAATATGAGCACATAAGATTTATTCTCTACTGCAAACTAGCACGATTTAAAGTTCAGCTTTTCCGAGGAAAGGTCAGGGGAGCATTTATCAGGCACGACTATCGATTTAGGGCAAAGACTGTTTCTTACGGTCTGTAAACAAGAAAAATCATGGCTGGTTGTACCTCTTTGCAATACCGAGAGTGAGTTGGAGCATAGAAAATCGCATAATTTGGTCACCGACCAGCGGTGGTTGTTAGGCTTTTAACGAGGCAGGAAAGAACCAGGGCAGAGTGTGCTAATGATAACAGAGGCGAGGACACACAAGCAATAGCAGAGAGGGATTTTTATAAATGTCCAAATGCACTTTAGGACATTTGACATCAGTGTAAAGAGGACTTCTTAAAAAAAATCACTGACAAGCTGTTAAATAAAAAAAGATAACAGTAATGATAATAAATGGAATTTATAACATGATTAACCAAATGCACTAAACACAACACATTAAACCACAGCGCAGCAGCTTTTCCTATTATCTGAGCTATGCAGGAGCTCCGGAAAAAGCAGCAGAAGGAACAAATCAACAACATTTGCAAATAATTAGGCAAACTGATCTTTTCACAAGCTCGTATAAATCAGGCTAAAGAGCTGACGGGAACATGTGATCACCGAGATTTTGACTTCGCCTCATCAGTGAAGCCTCAGCGTGACGCTGAATTGTGAAATGTGTGTATTTGCTTTCTTGCAGAGAATCAAGTCGAAAGATTGACTTTATGAACACCATGAGGTCAGTCCACACAGCTTTTTAATGCAGCATCTCTGCTGGTTGCCTGGCAATGTCACGGTGTCGGGTGCAGGACTCGCTGCTCCCTGCTTTTTTTTAACCAAGATAGAGTCAAATGGTGGGAGCGCTGTGACTCAATGGAAATGTCATATTATATTTTGGTCCAGCACCACCTCTGACCCCGTGACTTTTCTTTTGATTTCACCATGAGGATGATATTTTGGTTTCATTTTGGAGTGATGATGCAGGTTAACCTCTCCCAGCTGTAACTGGGCAGGACCATCTAATCAAACCACACAGAGCTCCTGTGGATGATTACGAAACGCTGGGTGACTCTCACACTTTTTAGCCACGGTATCTTTGCTGTGAAGTACAGCAGCTGCTTAAAGACTGGTCTGCTGCACCATGTTGATTACCATGCGTGCTAAGCACTATGGAAAAGCCTTTCCCAAGCATGGTGGGCAGACACAGCACTCAATTTCTAGAGAATTTTTAACTTCCCTCTGTGCTCAAGCAGCTTTAGTGGAAAGTGTGCACAAGGAGATGGACTTAAACACCGTGCGTGTCCTTGTGGACTTGTACTGAATCCTCTCATGCACCCTGCCCTCAAAGCAAGCATTCAGCATTGTGCGGGTGCAGCACTGTTGGACAGAACTAAGCAGGAACTAAGCAGCATATGCAAACATTCAACTTGAGCCAAAGAGACCAGGCTAGTACTTTTCCTTTCCTTTCCTCAAGATATTCACACTAAGCTAAATGCTTCTTACCTGACATGACATCAGACAAGACTAGAGCTGAAGCAACATCTGCCCATGTGAAAGAAGTACATTTCCCAAATTGACCCCATCACATTGTATCCAGGGTTAAATTGGTATTTTATATATAAAGTGGGCCTATTTTATATTTTCCTTATTTTTTTGTCACAGTGCTCATTTCGGGAAAAAGAAACCCATTTGTTTTCCTCCCTTTTTCCCCCGAGTTTCCACAATTTACAAGTGTCCCATAAATGTGTCACAAGCAGGCTATCCTAAAGCTGCAGACTTGAAAAGAGGACAGCTATAAAAGGAGACAGCAACCGAACAAATGAGTGCGATGGTGCCCGTTTAAAACAGCCCTGTGCAGAACAGACAGACCGTTTCAGGAAAGCAAACACATACAACGAGATAAAAGTGTAAACAAAGAAATGTCGTTCATACTTGTTCAGCTGTCTTTGTGAGATTTTTTTTTAATTACATTTTTTAAAAGTTGGCACTTTTCTGTCATGCTTTCAAATTTCAAGGCCCTTTTTGAGGGTTAAGACTAAGCTTAGGGTTAAAATTAGAATTAGGTTCAGGTTAGTGTTTGGCAGTTAGCTGTGATCCTAAACTTAGGGCTGAGAGGCAAAAGTGAAGCACAGAACGATAACGGCACAGCACAGCTGTCACTCTTTTAGTCAAAATCTTGTGAGCCGTTCATTCAAATGACGTCAAACTGGGCACTGCACTCAGCCAGGGGCCCCACTAATACCCCTGCAAAATTTGAAGTGGATTGAAAGAACAGTTGGAGAACAGATGGACGGACAGACCGAGAGTCCTCAAATTATTAGAAAGAAGTTATTGTCCAAAATAATACTCAATTTGGCTTTCCCAAAGACAAAAGCACTGACAGTTTCAGCAGTAAGTTGGCTTAAATGGAGGCAGAAGTAAGCTAAAATGACTTGTTACAAATAGAAGATCAACTAAAGGCTGCACAGTGGGGAGGGACGTTTAACCAAAATAAGTCATTCTTGGAACTGTGAGTCATGCAAAGCTACTCAGTCAGAGACCCAGAATAAAACTATAGGGCTGAAAAATGAGCATAACAGTTTCCCTTTTAGGTAAATTTGATAGGTGGGCCCTTGAGTGGAGAAAGCCAGAGTAGCTTTATCTCACCGACTGCCCCCGGTGATCAGCTGTGCTTAAAAATAGCCACCTGGGCTGCAGATTGGCTTCGTCAGCCCCTTTGAGTGTGCTGCTCACAGGTGTTCTTATAAGTCTGTGCTTGAGCATCTTACCCTCTGACGGCATGGAGAAGGCGCAGCGATGGAAAGGCGGTGCGTATGTCTACGGTGTGCAGCAGGATGAGACGCAGTGCCCACTCCACGCGCTCCTCTCCCCCCTTGGCCATGAAGGCTGGGATCCACAACACGCTGCCGCTGAGGCTTCGAAGACGCCGTAAGAAGCGCTCCTTCCACTCATTGGTGACCAGGTCCTGGAAGGCTCGCTGCACTACTGACGGGTTCATGGTCACCAAGTTGGTCCGCCATCCCACGTCCTGAAAGTATTCCTCCACCGGTGCCAGGTTACACCTTAAAGCAAAGAGCGTTCAGTTTTAACATGGGGAAATACTCTATTAAACACCTAGAATTTACACAAATGAATCAAATATATGGTTCGCTAATGATGTGTAAGGCTTTTACAAGTATACAAAAGTAAAGAAAGTCAAAACTTTCCACCTTTATGTTACAGTTAAAGCTCTGATATCCTCTATGAAGGCAACTTTTAAGTAACTTTCACCTCCCTATGTGGTTCTGATTAATGAAACACAGGTGGATAACTGACGGGTTACATTAAGCCAACCGTGGAAGCTGTTCGATCATCTCATCGTGAAACCTTGACGAGAAACTTTTGTTTATTCGTTTCTTTTTTCCACGTAATTTAGCAACCATCTGTTTTCCCCACCACCACCCAAAGTCTGAAGAGTGAAACAGAGCAGAAGTAAAGGTGAAATTCAGCAGGAAAGCAGGGTGGCATTTTCTTCATTGATGTTAGTCTCCGCCTGAAAGTAAATGTCAGAAAAACACAAAGCTGGTAATTATCCTCACAGCGAAACATCTCCATTCTGTAGGCGGGGAGGAGACATCAGGAGGCCTTGTTGTTAATACGTTTTTATTCTCTTATCTACACACTGATTACAGTGTTTGTTTAGTCTGAGCACTTCAGATCTGCGGGGTTCGTTCATATTTTCAATGATAAATTACCAGGACTTCTTTACTTTCATCATCTGAAACATCAGTGTAAAAAGAATCAAAATTCAGTGCAGTGATTCTTAACTAAAGATTAATGACAAGTTTTATATAAAAGCCATAGTTTAACTAGAGCTGCCTGTCCCAGCTTTTGCTTATCTTTTTAAATTCAGTTGTTTCACTTAGTATCCACTGTGACTTTGCTTGTTTCCATTTACAGTGGGGCAAAAA